CTGCCTCTGCTGCAGGCAAGCGCCCTGCGCCTCGTCTCGTGCCTGCGCCAGCAGTCGCAGCTTGTCCTCCAGGTGAGCCAGACGCTGTCGCTGTGAGCACAGGAGCCGCCACGGAGCATGAGGGGCTCAGCCTGAGCTCACCTGAGGGAATGTCTGCATGGGCACGACCCCATCCCTCTGCAGGACTGGCTGCTCTAGTTATTGCGACTCTGAACCTGCTTCCCGGCAGCCACCTCCTCCAGATGCCCTCTGGGCTCCCCTCCTCCCTCTCCGGTCACAGCACCCTTCCAGTCCCTCCATGCGTGTAGTCACAGGCTGCAGAGATGAGCCAAACCTTTCCACTATCTCAGGCCCTGATCTAAGGCTGAAGCCGACCCAACAGTGTCCAGGGTGTGCTGATCTGACCTCAACACCGCACTCCCGCCTCCCCACTCAGACCGCGGCTCTGGAGTCTGCATGTGGACCGTGATGCTGGGCAGCCTGGCTCTCGTAGAGGGTGGTGGACATCTGTGTGGCTCACCTCCTCCAGGTGGGCCTGGTTCTTGGCCTTGATCAGCTCCTCCTCCGCCTGGCCACGCTCGCTGAGTGCCGCTGCTTTCACTCGGCCCAACTCCTACATAGACGGTCACCTGCCAGTGCGTTCTCCTGTCCCTGGCCCAAGGCCCTTCTCTCTCTGGCCCATCCAGTCAACCCCAACGAGGGGAGCTCCTCTCTGCCAGCCTCCTGAGGGCCACGCAGCTGCTCTGCCACCTAGCTCGCTGGGCAAGGTGCCTACGGCCAACGGAGCCCGAATGCCACCTAAGTCCCTCTAGCTTCTTGGGCACATGGGGGGTGGGTCCCCAAAGTGGGACGTATGAGGCTCTGAGGCCAGGAAGGGGTCTCTGTGGTCCTGAGGTGGTGAACATCAGGGGTGCCTGCCTCGTTCAGCCCAGCGTGAAGGCAGAGCTTGGCCCTGCCTGGTGGGGGCTCACCTCTTCCAGGGACAGGCGAGCAGCCTCCAGCCTCTGCACCCGTTCCTGCATGGCCCTCTCACTCTCCTCCAGGTGCCGGGTCATATGCTCCACCTGCTCAGGGGCAGGAATTGTGGGGCCAGGCTGCAGAGCCAGGCCTCCCTACCTTCGCCCCATGGACTCCCCACCCTGGAAGGCAGGCGTCTCTTGGGAACCTCGTTCATTCTGAGAAAGCACTGCCTCGGGTGGCCTAGCAGGAAACTACCCTAGCATGCGCACGCTGCACAGGTGGGGCTTGGTGTCTCTTCAGCGGCAGCCTGTACTACGGCTGAGGCATGGCCGGGGTCCCCTCCCAGCCCCAATAGAAGGTTCTGGGTCTGACATCCGCTCAGGCTGGCAAAATACGGCCACCCAGTGACCCCAGGTTGGCAAGGGGAGCTCCCACCGGGCATGTGCTTTGGGGACACCTGCATGACACCAAGGACAGAGGCTGAGGAGCGTTAGAGGCCAGATGAGGCCAACAAAGAGGGCACCTCCTTGATGCGCAGGCTTTCCGAGTCCTCCAGGCTCTGTCTGCACCTTCTCTTCTCCATGTCCAGGCGCTCTGGAAGCCCAGGGGGCAGAGCGTGTGTAAGCATCCCCTGGGGGACCCTGTCCCCAGGGTGCCCATCCCCAACCCTTCCACAGCAGGCCTGCCCATGCCCACCCTCGGCCTGGATGGCCCGCATCTTCAGCTCGGCTGATGTGCTGGTCAGTTCTTGCCTGGTCTGGAACAGCTGCTCCTGCTGACACCTGACCTTCCGCTCCAACTCCTCTACCTGGAAAGCCGGCACCAGAGAGGGAAGCTGCAGCCCAGCCCTGCCGTGCCCACCCTGGGCTCCCTGGCTCCCCCACAGCTACCTGGTTTTGCAGGAGCAGGTTCTTTTCATTAGCAGCAGACAAGTCTCTGAGGAGCTTAGACTCCCGCTCCGCAGCTTCCTGGGAGGGGAACGTGGTATGGGCAGTGAGGGTCACGAAGCTGCCGCCCACCCGTCTCAAGCCCGCCCACCCACCTGCTGCTCCAGCTTGAGCTCCTTGGCCTGCCTCTGCGATAGGCTCAGCTGCTCCTGCTCCGCTGTGGCCAGGAGCTCCCCCAGGTCCTGGGCCTTCTGCTCTGACAGAGCCAGGGCGGCCTCCGTCATCTGCAGCCTGCAGAAAGGAAGGGCAGCACCCCCGCCCCGGCTGGAGCTTCACGTGCCTTACAAAGTCCTCGCTGCCCTCACTGCTGCTGGGCGCCTAGTGAACCCCAGCCAGCACCCGCCTCCTCCAGGAAGGCTTCTGGGTTACTGCCCCAGCCTCACCGTTTCCCACCTCTACATTGCAAACAGGACTTGCACACAGGCTCACACCACCCTCCTCTGCGCTGTGGGCACGTTTCTGAAGTATCCTGAGCCACCCCCTACTTACTTGGCCTTGAGAGCGTTGATGATGGAGTGCCTCTCATTCAGGGCTTCCTGAAGCTGTCCTACACGGGCTGCCGACGCCCTGTGGGCAGAGAGGAGGGTGCAGAGAGTAACCCAAACCCCAGAGCACTCCCGTACCCCTCTGGCCTCGGTAGCTGCTGCTGTTCCTTAAGCATCTACGGTCGCCTGGGCACTGAGCCTCCAGCCACCACCTCGTGGTCTCACTTGTGGGCTCAGGTTGGTCCCATCTGAGTCTGAGCCAGGACCCGATCCCTGAAGCCTTGTCTTGCCCCTGCCCTGCGCCCGCTCACCTGCTGCTCTTGGCCATCTCTTCCCGCTGCTTATCAATGGTCTCCATCAAGTCCAGAAACTGGGGACAGAGACAGCCACAGCCCTGTCAGAGCACCTACAGCCTGTCCACGCGACCTTCTCGGGGGAAGGAGAGCCGGCGCCCACCAACACAGCAAGGCAGCAAAGGGCTCCACCCACAGCGCCCCGTCTCCTTCACAGGAAGGGTGGTTCCTGCAGAGGGAGGCCTTGGGGCTCAGGCACCAGCTCCCCAAGGAAGCCCACCTGCAGGAGATCAGACCAGGAGGCCGCCCTCCTTCCCGGTACGAGCCACTCAGACAGGCTCTGCGGCCCCAAGGAAGGGAAGGTGGGCAGACCGCGGGGCCGAAGGAGGCAGGACATGGCCAGGCCCTCCAGCCACGAGCAGCTCCAAGGTCAGTGAAGGCGCCATTCTCACCTGCTTGGACTTCTCCTCCCGGAGGTGCTGGACCTCCTTGCTGAGGACGTGAGTGCGGGCTTGGTTCTCCTGGAAGATGGTGAGCCGGTCCTGGCTGTGGCCCATGGCTTGCTCTGCAGAAGGGGCTGTGTCAGCCGGGCGCAGGGGCTCATGCCTGGAATCTCAGCACTTCGAGAGGCCGAGGTGGGCGGATCACCTGAGGTCAGGGGTTCGAGACCAGCCTGGCCAACATGATGAAACCCTATCTCTACTAAAAATGCAAAAAATTAGCCGTGCATGGTATTGCACACCTGTAATCCCAGCTACTCAGGAGGCTGAGGCAGGAGAATCGCTTGAACCCGCGAGGTGGAGGTTGCAGTGAGCCGAGATTGCGCCACTGTACTCCAGCCTGGGTGACAGAGCGAACTCAGCTGTGTCACCCCGGAGCTGCTTAGCCTCAGGAGTGGCTGGTGGCCACCAGCCCTGCACCCGGCGGCTGGCTGCTTGGGAATCTATGCCTTGTAGGGCAACGTCTCTCCTGGCAAGTCAGGGGTGCCCCCTCAGTGCATGAGGGTGGAAGGTGCTTCGTGGGGTTGGGGCTGTGAGCAGGAGGCACCTGGTGTTGGGGGGTGCGGGCACACGTGGGGCAGAGGTGGTGGGGGCTGCTACACCACAAAAGGCGAGGGCCATCCTGGGGCATCTGGCCACCATCCCAAAGGTCAAGGGGCACCGCACAATGCTGAGGTGAACGCTGTGCCCAGCTCATGTTCTGGAAAGATCTGGGTGGCATGTGGCTAAGGGGCAGAGATCAGGAGCGATGACAACACCCAGGGCAGCACTGAGGCAAAGCCAGGGACGGTGCAGCTGGAGCCAGAGGCCAGGCAGAGCCAGCAGAAGGGGTGAGCCCGCAGCACAGGGGCCAGAAGAGGCTGCCGCTGTGCGTGGATTAGGGAGTACGGGGCCTGGCAAAGTTCTCAGCTGGGTCTGGGGCACTGGGGCCTAAGGCTGAGACATCAGCTGCAAGGATTTGGGGTCGCTGGTGGGAGGGAATGTGGAGGCCAACACAGGCCAGGCGGCCCCACTTCTCATGACTCACATGCAGGGCCACAAACTCAGGGTGACCAGGGAGCCTTCCTGGCCGAGGCCTGGGCCACCTGAAACATCAGCAAAGCCATCAAGGCCAGGGCTGTGAGCCACACGGCTTCAGCTTTCCCAGCTGTGACATGGGCACGCCGCCACTGCACAGGTCGTAAGAACTCAGCAAGCACAGGGCGCCTCAGACAATGCCAATGTGTGGTCAACGCCAATCAAGTGCCAAACAGGTGCCCCACGACCCCTCTGCTCCTTCCCGCTTCCCCTGGGCGCTCAGGCTGCTCTCCTCATCAGTTCCAGTCCTGAGCCGAGCACCCCGACCTCAGCGGACAGGCCTCCATCAAAGGCTGACACAACGCTCCACACAGCCCCGCACCGTACCCACGGCTCTGAGGACATCCCCGGGGATGTTGTTCCCAGCCAGGTCCAGCCTCCACAGGGTTCTGTTGCTGGGGAGACAGTTCATGAGGGCCCGGCCCCCCAGGAGGCCAACGTTATTCCAGCGCAGGTCTGGAAGGAAACCTGTAGTCACCAGACAGAATGCACCTGGCAGAGGGGGAGCTGGCCTGGCCAGGGTGCTTCCCTGTGGGGCACTGCCTTGTGGTCAACAGAGCAGGAATGCAGGCAAGTCCCCTAGCCCCTTACTTCCAAGAGCAAAGGCAGCCTCAGAGGGTGAAGGAGCCTGAGGCGCCTGGGAGGCCTCACCCAGCTGCTGGAGGGTGGTGTTGCCCTTCAGGGCGAGGGCCAGCTCCTCAGCGCCTTTGTGACTGATCTGGTTGTTGCGGAGGTCCAGCTGCTGCAGGGCGCCGTTGGCCGCCAGGCCCCCGCAGAAGGTGGCGAAGGCATCGTCCCACGTGCCCAGGCTGTTCCACTCCAGCGTGAGGCTGCAGGAGGGGCAGGAACCAGAGTTCGCCTAGGGGACAGCCTGGCCTGTGGGGTCCAGGGCTTAGGGACAGGTGTGGGCTTGGGGTCTGATGGGCCGGAGCCTCTGACTACTCCCTGCCAGCGTATGTGAAACACGGGCAACTGGCAGTGTGGAACTCGGGCTGCAGAACCATGTGCTCTGGGGCCAATCCTCAACCACAGAGACAGGGCCTGCGGTGATGGTGGGTCCGGACCACCCCCACCTCTGAATGGACTTGTTCTGTTGGAGGAGTTTTCCCAGAGCCTCAGCCCCTGCGGCCCGAAGATTGTTGCCCTAGGAGAGAAACAGGCCGTCAGTCACTCCCGTGCCCTGACTGGCTCTGAATTCCCGCCCATGCCCCAGGGGCCTTGGTCAGCCAGGGGACAAGGCTGGGGTGCACTCTGCAGGGAGGTGCAGCCTCCCTCAACTCCTGGGCTCCCTGCCTTCAGGGGGCTTCCAAGGGCCGGCTTGTTTGCCGACATGAACTCTTGCTCCGGAGATGGTCACACACAGGAGGCCATCAGAGAACAGCCTGGGGACTCACAGACAGTTTCCAGCCACCTGCCCAGACCCCCAGCCCCTGACACCTGGCATCTTCCCCCTCTCCTCTTGCCGGGGTGGCACATTCGGACACTCAAAAGCGCAGGTCTCTCACCTTTAAGTCCAGAAAGCGCAGCACGGTGTTGGCACACAGGCCTCGGAGCAGCAGTGTGGCCCCTGTGTAAGGGGGGCCAGCGGTCACTCTCTGCCCCTCCTGACCCCAAGATCCTCCCCGTTGGCCCCTTTTCAGGGCAGCTCCCTAGACCCAGGGAGGGACAACTGTCCCGGTGGTCTGGGTTGGCGCTGGCCAAGAGTCTCGCTGTGAAGTCATGTTTGAAACACCTGCAGCCCCTGTCAGGCACCAAGCCGGCTCAGCACGCGGGGAACCAGCTAAGCGGGACATGTTAAGGTCTCTCCCCTGTCCTACAGAGGAACTGTCCTCTACTCCCAGGTGCAGGAAGGGGCGCCCCTGCTCGCTTTAACTGCGGCACAGAAAGAGGAGAGCCTGGAGAGGAAGCGACCTCTGGGGCTGCCGAGGCAACAGTGTGGGCAGCTAAGGAGCAGAGGGATCCACCCCGCCGCGCCTGCCCACCTTCCTCGCTGAGCATGCAGTCACTCAGGACCAGCTCCGTGCACAGCATCTCCCTCGGCAGCAGCTTGCCCAGGGCCCTGCAGGTCTCCACCGTCAGGCTCTGCGTGGCCAGGTCCAGCCGGCCCCTGGGAAGCTGGTGCAGCTGCTGCAGGACAGCCTCCTGGGGCTCGGCCCCACTCTCCCTGCACAGGCGGCTGTAGGAGCGCCGGAACTCCTCCATGACCCGCGGGGCCGGCAGGGCCTCCTCCGCATGCTCCCGCAGCTGCTTAAAGGGAGCCGCCCGGTGCGGAGCAGTCCCAGCGCCAGGTACGGCAGACGGGGCCTCCGCCGACCCAGACGAATCCGAGTGGGCTCTGCGGGCGGGAGGTCCTGAAGCGCGGGGGCTGGGCGGTAGTCAAGGTCCGCTTTGGGCTGGGGCCCCGCAGTGCTTGGGGACTACCGTGCAGGAAGCAGGCAGGCGCGTCGCGCGACCCCTCCAGGCCCTGCCGCGCCTGCAGCCCCGACCCCAGCCCTCGCGACTGCCGCGTCGGGGCCTCAGTATCCAGGAAGAACAAGGCGCCCCGGGAGAGGCCGCGGGAACTACAACTCCCAGCAGGCTCTGCGCAGGCAGCCCTCGGTGCGGGCCAATGAAAAAAAAGGAACTGGCGCGCCCTTCGGGCCGCAAGCCGAAAGGGGGCAGCGCGCTCCAGGTTCATTGGCTAGAGGCATGAGGGTGGGGCCCCGAAGGGGCATGCTCCGGGCTCATTGGCTGATGGGTGTGAGGGTGGTGTCCCGGAAGGGAGCGCTCAGGGTTTATTGGCTGAGGGACGTGAGGGCGGGGCTGATGGAGGGCGCGCTCCGGCCTCATTGGCTGAGACATTGGGGCGGGGCTCCGAGAGAGGGCGCTCCGGGCTCATTGGCTAGGGGAGCGGGGCGGGGCTCCGAGGGCGCGCTCTGCTCTCATTGGCTGGAGGGGCGGGGTTCCGGAGGGCGCGCTTCGATGCTGCGATCATGGAGGGAGCCGGAGCTGGAGCCGGCTTCCGGAAGGTGAGGGCCGGGAGGCAGGGGCCAGGCAGGTGTGGACGCTCCGTCCCGACCCCACGCGTGACACCGTGAGGGCCAGACGCCAGCCCCCGCGCCGCCCACCTGTGTCTTTGAGGTTGGGCCCGTTCTCAGACTCTGACCCGAGCCCGGCCGCGCGCCCCGCGCCCTCCTGGGCGGGGTCTCGCAGCTAGTAGGAGGGCGCGTGGGGCAGCCGGGGCTGCGGGAAGGTGGAGAGGGTCTGCAGAAACAGGCAGGGGTGGGCGCCGTCATGGCGGAGTCCAATCCGGCGAAGAGAGAGGACGAGCTGGGCCGCCGCCCTGCGCCCTGAGCCTGGGGTCTCCTGTTAAGGGGAGATCAGGCCCCAGGACGGGGACAGTGAGACCATCCAGCCCGAGGAGCCGGCAGGACCTACCCTAGCCGCCAGGCACAGTGGTTTCCCTTTTGCCTGCTCCCTAGTGGGCACCAGCACTGGGCTAGGAACGCGTGGTTTCCTCGGTACTCCACGTTACTCACACTTGACACGGATTAACCCCACCCGCGAGTGGGGAAACTGAGGCACGGGGGCGTTAAGTGACTCAGCAGAGCTAGGGTCAGACCCAGGCCGTCTGAGTCAGGATCCGCCCAGGCTGCAAGGCGTGCCCCGCTCTTCCCTGCCCCTGGCAAGTGGAGCTCTCACAGGGTGCCATGTGCAGAGTCCATGTGCGGGGTCCCATCGGTGCAGGCAGAGTGGTTTCTGAGCCTTTCTTTCTTTTGCTCTACCTGAAGGTTGGGGCACTGAGCTTCCTCAATGTCAGCAAGGCCTCGTGGGCCTCTGTGGCCTGGGACGGGAGGGTCTCAGGCCCTTGTGAACCCATCCTGGGGGGAGGACTTCAGGGAAGTCCTGTAGAAGCAGGGAGAATTCTTTGTTTCTCCTGCATCGGGCCCTTCTTTATCACCCGGGACAGCAGGGGGTCAGTGTGGGGCACTCTGGTGGCATTGCTGAAGATTCTCGCCAGAACTCAGAAAGAGAAAGTCACTGAGGCCTGGGCCACCTCACTGGGTGGTTGGGAGAATCCACCAGGTTAGAGTAGCTGAAAGGCCACTGCTGGAGAGGGGGCACTGGGGACACACCCCAGGAGGTCATGTGTTCTCTCCATCAAGCCCACCTGACAACTAGAGGCCCGAGGGCTCTGGCCAGAGCTGGAGTTGTGGTCATTGCAGAGGATGAGTGTGAAGACGACGGGGAGCAGGGGGCCTGCAGCCCTGGTGTGGCGCCCACAGGTCATGGGGCAAAGCTGGGTGTGTCCCAGGCCCTCCCACAACCGCCCCAGTGCTGGGCCTGCCTTCCGAGGCCGCTGCCGGTGTACGGAGCAGCCCCTTGGATTGTCAAGGCAGCCCCGGCATCCGCCACTCTCTGGCGTGGGGTCCCGGAGCAGGTGGGAAGGTAGTGCCTTCTGGACGTTTTCTGGTGCCTTTCCGGTATTGCTGGCTGTGAGCAGCAGGAAGGACCAGCAGGTGGCGCTGAGCTCATGCGGGTGGTGACTAGGGGACAGCGAGGGCTCAGGACGAGCCGGGATGCTGGACCCTGCTGCTCCCTGCTGGGGAACATTTCACCTCCCGCGTCTCAGGGCTTCACCCATCCATGCTCTGCTTGTCACCTGCTGGACTGCTCTGGGTGAGGTGCTGTGACCTCCCTGTGGCCGACGCTGGCGGCCTGGCCGGTTGTTCACAGGTTAGTGCCTGTTTCTGGGCTCCTGGGCGCCCACTGCCCCTGCCCCCAGCCCTGGACGCTCCATGCTGGCTCCTTTCCCAGCCACTGTGGGCCAGTGCCTGGTCTGGGCCGCCTCACTGAGTCTCGTGGCTCCACCAGCCACCCAGGGCTGCCCTCCTGAGTCTCGGCCGCCACCACTGCCGCTGCCACCCGCCACTCTGTGTGGATAGCTCCTGTGTTCACACACAATGCATCCCAAACTGAGCTCCTGCGTCCTGGCTCCAAAATACACATGCCCACAGCCCCCCATCTCTTCAGAGCAGTGCTGTCCTTTTGGGGTCTCAGCGTGGACTCCTCCCTTGTCCCTGTCCTCCGTCCATCAGGAAGGCAGAAAGGCCCTGGCTCTGCAGCCCCCTCCCTTCCCCCCACCCCGGGCTTGGCAGCCAGAGTGGTCCTTTCAAATGCCAGTGCTGCTTTCCACAAAAAACCTAGAAAGGACTCCCAGTTGCCTGCCACGGAGAGCTGATCAGGCCCTGGGCCCTCAGCGTCTGGCCCACCCCTCACTCCAGCCTGCGGACCACGCTGGCACAGCCTAGCTCTGTACCCCCAGGACACGAGCACCTCCTGCAGGATCATGAGCACCAGGGCAGGACTGGTGGAGCTGACCCAGCACCCAGAACAGAGTTGGCACAAGCAAAAGGCCTTACGGGTGGCACTCCCTCAGTCCAGCCCTCCTGGGAGCAGCCACCTCCAGCCTCCAGACCCAACCCGGGCTCTGCCTTCCCTGCCTCTCCACAAGGAGAGCAGAGCCATGGCCCTCTGCCGGGGATGGGAGTGCAAGATCAGGCCAGACTCAACGAGGCCTTTCTCCACTCTCCCTGGAGCCCCAGCAGCGGGGCCTGCTCCCGTGTCTACGGCCACTCGCTGTAGGGAGGCTCCTCGCACAGACCTTGCCAAGAGTCCTGGCGCCCCGAGTGGAGCTGCCCACACATCCTGCTTCTCCAGCTTCTGCCACCCTAACCACTAGGCTGGCCCTCGTCCCCTGCCCTGGGAGAGGCCCAAGCACAGAGGGCGTCTCCAGCCGGAAATCACAGCCACTGTCACCCAGAATGATCACCAGCCCGGGGGTGCGGGGGGAGGGTGGGGCCTGGCTGACACCCCCTCTCTTCCAGGAGCTGGTGAGCAGGCTGCTGCACCTGCACTTTAAGGATGACAAGACCAAAGGTACAGGCAGGGGTGTGGGCGGGAGGTGGGTCCCCGTACTTGTCCTCAGAGACCCTTTCCCGCAACTCTGCAGGGCCAAGGCCTGGGGCGGGCGGGGGTAGGTCTGGAGCCCCCAGCCGGAGCGGTGGGTGAGGGTCCCACATGACCTCCCCTGCCTTGCAGTGAGCGGGGACGCGCTGCAGCTCATGGCGGAGTTGCTGAAGATCTTTGTTGTGGGTGAGTCCGGGGCCCACGCTCCTTCCGGGCACCGCGTCCCGGATTCCTTTTGTGTTTTCACAGCGGGAAAACCAAGATGTGTTTTCCCCAGTTTCCCACAAGGTCCTAAACTTGGGTCTCCTGAGCCTGTTTGTCAGGTGCTGTGGCCTGGTTCTGGGGGCTGCCCGTGGGTGTGGGTGGGGGCACCGGCCCAGGCTGAGGCCCTCGCTGGGCTCGGGTTTAAGATCCCCCACCTCGCGTTTCTCACCGCAGAAGCAGCAGTCCGCGGGGTGCGGCAGGCCCAGGCAGAAGACACGCTCCGTGTGGATGTGGACCAGCTGGAGAAGGTGCTCCCGCAGCTGGTGGGTGAGCGTGGGTCGCGGCGCCAGTGGAGGTGCCCAGCTGGCTGGCCCTAAGCACTTCTCTCCCCCACAGCTCCTGGACTTCTAGGGATCTCAGCCGTGGCTGAGGCCACCCCCAGAGCAGCCCGTGGTCCACAGAAACAGGCCTTGTGTTTCCAGCGGTCTCTGATAACAGGCGGGGAAGGACCTGAGGGGTTGAGTTGATTCAAACAAGATCCCCAGGTGTCTCCAGCCTGTGCAGAAGGGGCAGGACTGCAATGCATTGCTGCCCTCGGAGTGTCCAGTGGGGACACTGGTGTGGGAAGGGGCAGCACCTGGGGAGTCCCTGCCTCTCCTCCCTGGGGCAACAGTGTGCGTACCACCCAGGGTCCTACAGGCAGGTGCTGGGAAAGGCCCGGCCACCAGGTAGCCTGTGTGTTTGACAAACAGCGGCTGGCAGCACCGCCTCCTGCCCACATTCCTGCCACCCGACATCAAAGCTGGCGTGTGACCTTTCCAGCCATGCGATATTCCCCTTGGAAGATGCTTCCCCCGGCTATAAATTTGTTCTCACAAAGCAACATCAATAAATCAAAACTGTCTCTCCCAGCTTGGCCTTCTTGCCATTAATCACCAAAGTCAAACTGCTTCAAAGCCTCGCTCCCCGTGTGCGCCCTTCCACTCCTGGTAAGAAAGCAAAGCACCAGGAGGACGCACTAACAAACAGCATGTGTGCGAGTGACTCGGCCCCGCCCCCAGGCGCTGCGGAACCCGGACCGCGTACATGTGGCCACCCGCCTGGAAAATGTTACTCCTGCCCCAGGGGTTGGGGCAGCCACGGGAGCTGCCACCAGTGGGCAGTGGCTTCCAGGAATGTTCCTGTGGCCGCAGGCAGTGGCCACAGGCAGGACCAAGACGCACAGGGTGAGAGAGACTGGCCCAAGGGCCTGCTGAAATGAAGAGCAGGCCTCCCCTTTTCTCCGACACCAGTCCCAAGCAGTGCGTGGGGGTGCAGCTCAGCCCCCTCAGGCCATGCCCTCTGCCCACCCTTGGAGACACAGGGCTGTGGGACCTGCCTGGATGCCCCGCCCAAGTCTGGCTGCCCTCTGACTCTCAGGGGCCTCTGGCATAAGCTCCACTTGTGCCAATGCTTGGGAAGTGGGCACAGCCTTGGTCACTTCCCCTCCAGCCCACCTCACTTTCTCTCTCGTCAGAGCCCAGGACTGGAAGCACCCCAAGGGCTCTCAGCTGAGCACCATCCCGGTGCCCCGCAGGAAGGGGAAGGGGTAGGGAGTCAGGGTGGGAAGCACAAGAGCTGCCCCGTGGGACCCATCAGAGGCGGCCCAGCCTCTCTGCTGCCCTGGTGCCCAAAGACAACTTTGAGGCAAGCCTCTTCATCCTTGATTGAGCCCCACTGGCCCCGGGAAGGCAGAGCTGCTGAGACCCACCCCTTCCCCGCTCTGCCCACCTCAGTAGGTCAGTTTGAAAGCCCTGGGAGCCTGTGGAAGTCATCAGACTTGCTGGGGAGGCTGGCTGTGGGGTGGGCCAGGGCCAGAACGCAGCACTATAGCCGCTCAGGGGCAGTGGGAGGCCCAAGGTCAGGCCCTGCCCTGCAGATGTGGGGGGACCTACTAACTCCTTCCCCAGCTCTCGGCCCGGGGCTTGGCTCCTGGGTTGCAGGTAATTTCCCCAAAAAAGCCTTTTTTCCAGCACTTCTGTTCTCCTTGGAGAAGGGATAAAAACTATTAGGTAAAAATGAAGAGGAGACCCACATGGGTTCCAGATGCATACCGCGGCCCACAGCGCTCCTCCTGTCTCTTATACACATCTAGATGTGTATAAGAGACAGGATTACAGGCGTGAGCCACAGCACCCAGCCCTTCAGCCCAATGGCCCTGCCACAGCACCCGGCCCCCCACCCTCCACCCGGCCACAGCACCCTGCCTTCCACCCGGCCACAGCACCCTGCCTTCCACCCGGCCGCAGTACCCGGAAGCTTCAGCCACTTGGGCACCTTGCCCAGGCTCCTCTTCACAGGCTGGGCCGTCCCTGGGATGGGCTCAGGGGGGCCCAGTGCCCCCTCCTCAGCAGTTGGTTCAGACTCAGGTGCAGGGTCAGGGGCTGGCAATGGGGAAGGGGAACCGGCGACCCTGGACATGCACCTAGGGGGAGGCGAAGATGCAGGCTGCTGAGTGCCACCATGGGAGGTGCCCCCAGACCCACAGGCACTTACCTGGCCACCAGCATGTCGGCTGCAGATGGGGAGATGGCATGCTCCAGCAGGCCAGGCTCCAGGTAGACACCTGCAGGGAGGCCCAAGCTCACCCTCAGCCTCTGAGGGGGGGGCCACCCGCCACCTGCCACCCGCCACCCGCCCAGCATCTGCCCAGCATCTGCCCACCGGCACTCGGCTCTGGGAGGGCAGTGGCCAGCAGGTGGCTGTCCCAGCCCTCTCTCGGGGAGGTGGTTATTGGGGCCGCAGAGCTCCCTCTCAGACCCAAAGGAGGCCCCAGACTGAACGCCCTTCCAGGCAGCTGACTCTGAGGTCCAGAGACAGGCTGGCCGGGCTCCAACACCGGCCCCAACCACCGACACTCACCTGCCGGCTCCTTGGCTCCGAAGTGTACCAGAGCGGCCGGGAAGAGGTTTGCCTGCAGGGAGGGCGGGGGGCTCAGGGGCCGGGTGGGCACCATGGGCAGAGCACCCCCCTGCAGTGGAGGCAGCCACACCCCCAGGGCCCGGCCCTGCTGATGGCCACAGCTTCACCATCAGACGGGCTCTGCCTGCCCAGCCCCCATGAACCCCTCTTCGCCCAGCTTCCTGTCTGGCACCAACCCTACCCCTGTATGCAAGACCAGGGCGCCCTGGGACCAGCGCCCTCCATGGGACCACCCCAAGCCCCAAGCCAGCTGAAGGCTGCGGCCTCGAGGGTCCGCAAGCCACGCAGCATCACAGTCCTCCCTCCTCTGGCCTCTGCACCTGAGGAAGGTGGGGCCAGGCGTGGCGGGTCCTGGCGTATGTGCCGGGACCACCGTGGAGAGGCGCAGCTGCCAGGGTGGGTATCCCCCTCCCAGCTCCAGATTCCCCCTCCCGGCTCCAGGCTGCTCGGGGCCACAGGCTGGGGGTGGGAGTGGGGCTGGGGGATGTTAAAAGATTAATAAGAGGAAGCTTCAAAGGCCAGGCCCAGGAACGCTGAAACCTCAGCCTCCAGCCAGGGGCCCAGGGACACAAACAAGGGCCGTGAATGCTTTGAAAACCCAATTGTGCCGCCTGGGATCAAAGCCTTGTGAGGAGAGAAGGGCCTGTGGGGTGGGCAGGGGCTGCCCGAGTGGCCCTGAAGAGGCGCCGGAAGCTGGGGAGCCAGGAAAGGAGCACGGGGAGGACAGCGCCAGGAGCCGCCGTGGTCTCGGCCTCTCACAGGCGGACGGCATGCTTCATCACCACGGGGCCTCCAAGATTCACACCCAGGCTGCAACTGCTCACAGAAGCCCAGGGGACACTGCCCAGAGGCCGCTGTGGGCACAGGAGGCCTGGCCAGCCCCACCTGCAGCCCACCTGCAAGGGGCAAGAGGGCTCCCTCAGAAGCCACCGATGCAGAGAGGCACCTGGTGTTCATCACAGCCGCACAGGCCAGGACCCTCACCCGGCACTGCCCCGTGGGACGCACAGAAAGGGGCAGGCAGGACTCGGGAACGCCAGCGGAGGGAAGTAGGCTTGGTGGCCGGGCCTGGGGCACCCAGGCTCTGTCTGCGCCTCTGTGCAAGGAGCACTGAGCCAGGCAGCCTACCCGGCTGTCCCCATGTGCTCGTGCCCAGCCTTGACTCAGGAGGGATCCCACTGCTCGGACGAGGGGATGGTGGAGAGGAGGGTCAGCAGACTGGGCGGCATGGAGGCTGACCCGTGCTTGGAGAGGCTCGGCCTCTGGATGGACCCCAAAAAAGGAGCCTCCCAGAGTCCATGTCACCTCCGTCCCCCACTGGTGGAAAGGGTGTTCTCTGCCCTGGTTCCCAGGCGCCATCTCAGTAAGCGACCCAGGGTGAACGGAACCACCCAGTCACCAAGCTGGGGCTAGAAAAGGAAGGTGGGTCACACCATCCCCCCAGCCACCCAGAGCAGGGCCCAGGACGGGCCTTTGAGGGAGGCTCAGGCTGAGAGGCCTTTCCCCACCAGCACTGCCCCAGGAGGTCTCAGGCTGCCCGCCTGGCTCCCTCGGCTGACAGGGAGAAGAGGGGGCACCCGCCCTGCCCTGACACAGCCTGAGGGCCTGGAGCCGGCGCCTCCCTCGCTGCTGCCCAGGACACTGGGGTCCCAAATCCGGCCACCTCTCTGCTGCCAGCCCCTTACCCCACTCAGTGTTGCCAGGAAGAGTTTCCGAAAGGAGGCCCACGCCAACCCCCATGGGGCAGCAACTCTGCAGGGGCTGCATGCACACGTGGCCCAGCGCCCCGGTCGCCCCCTCCAAAGAGAACGGCACCACCCTCGGGGAAACGAAGCCAAGAGAGGAGCCCTTACAGCCCAAGATGCCCGGGAGGGAGGTGGCACCATGGTGCCCGGGAGGGAGAAGGCACCACAGTGCCCGGGCAGGGAGAGACGGGGCATCCACCCACAGAGCGGGAGCGGGTACTGCAGGAGCCATCCCACCTTCTGCAAGACCATTTGTCAACGAGGAACATTTCAGAGGGTCCAGGTGGGGTAGGGCCTGGTGGGTGGGAGGAAGGGGGCCTGTCGTTCCCAAGAGGCCCTGGCAGTGGGCAACACAGCAGTACAGGACGGGGCTGTCCTGGGTGGAAAGGAAGGACAGACCTGGCTAGGGGTGGGCACCCAGCAGGCACTCAGGCCGGAAGTGCCAGTCACTCCTTCCCAAGTGGGTGGCCAGTGTCCTGGCAGAGGGTCCCCCGAGGCAGCCTGACAGCTCCAACAAACAGAGGGTGTTAGGAGCCAGGCTTGCCCCACCAAAGCCAACGGAAGGAAGCCCAAACAGCAGAGACTTTGAAGAGATAAGTGAGGTGACCGTGACATCAAAGGTGGGCCTAGTCCAGGATGACCTTCCTTACGACATGAGGATGCGGACTGCACACAGAGGTGGCCGTGCCAGCCCTGATGCCCAGGGCCAGGAAGCAGGTTTCAGGCAGCGGTCGGGGCTTTGTTCCCCACAGTGGTGCCCCCACGCTGCTCACACTTCCCTGTCCTCAATCCTGGCCGCCTCCTCCCAGCCCTCCCAGAAAACCTGCGCTCTCCTGGGCCAGGGCCACAGAGGGCTGCCGGGCTACCCGAGCCCCCACACCCACGCACGCTGTCCCTCTTAGAAGCAGGGGCCAGAGCAGGGCCCCGCCAGAGACAGACATGAAAGCCGGTGCTTCCACGCCCGCCGCCTGCTTGCCTGCCAGGGAGGCAGGCTTCCCCCGCTCGGCCCCGCCAGCTCTCTGACGGCAGGCAGGCAGGAACGTCACCAGGGACGCCACCCCGAGAGGCCCCCAGACTAGAGCCGAGCTGACGGAGGGCAGGAGATGGTGGCTGGCGGGGAAGCCATGTATCTCCAGGAGCAGCGCAGCAGCACCCCAGTGCTCTCAGGGGGCCTCCCAGTGGGAGGGTGGGCTGCAGGCCTGGGC